ATTATCAGCAATGTTCTTCCGACGTGTGATTTCTTTATAAAAAATGCGTTTCTAAAGTGCATAAACTTTTGGGATTGTCTGTATAGCCAATACATCCTTAATGTAATATTTTCTGATGTAACATTTTAGAAATTTCTTGTCAATCGATCCCGCGTGGGTAGGGCGAAAAATCGTGCATTGATTTAACGATGCACAAAATTATAAAACAAAAAAACTGCGAACAGAGAAAAAAAGGATGTCGGTTCTTTGAAACGGGATCGTAGGGGATGGTCGCAAGCCCGGTGGCTCGTCGATAATCGGTTGATCGCCGCGATGAACGAAGAAAAAATTGGTAAAAAGGAAAACAATGACAGGGAATGTTAAAAGGGGGTGAGGGGTGGATAACGAGCGTATCGCAACGTGTCGGACAAATAATTATTATCGGGCTTCTGTCCGCGAGCGGTCTCACATCCGCTTTGATCCCGGGTAGGAAATACGAGAGCGAAATACGAGAGCGGCAGAGTCTGGTTCGAGGTAGATACTCTCATAATCGTACGGCAAATAGAATTATCGCGTTGCACGCGGCCATTCCCGACGAGCATAGCTTATACCCGGGTTTCGCTCGTTTCCCCCATTATACGCGTCGTCTGCTAAATGACGCTGTACTCCGATCCATCTCCTCCCCGCTCTCTCACCATCTCCGTCGCTCTCTCACCCTTGCTCGCCATTCTATCGCCCTTTTGTCCCTCTCGCTCGTTCACTCCTCTACAATTATTCAACTGACCATCACCTGCTGGCTTCTGGCCTTCGCCGGATCATTCCACGACCGGTTTTTAATTGTCGACCCACTTGACAATTTTTTGTCACACTCACACTATTCTAACTCAATCTTATCCTTTTGCGATTTTCGACGTATGTTCTAATTGAATCAATTGATTCGTACAGGACAGGGTGATTCTATTTGTATAGGTCACGATAGTACTCGTAATTGGGATTTGTATTTGATCCGACGATATCGAAGTTACTATGAATTTTACATTAAAATACGGCGTGGACACGAGGTGGTGGAGTTAACAATTCATGGCGCATTCTTTCAGCAGCTCATCCACCGGCCTGGATTGAAGCAGATATTGCCCATAACGACGAGGCGCCAGGGATTATCATGTTGCATGAGTGCACTCGTTCCACGGGCTCTATTATGATCACGCGAATCCCGTTCCTCTAATTCTCTCGCGACCTGTCTGCCGCGACACGATACCGACGCGCGATACTTACGGGTTTTCCACTTTCATCCAACTAGTTCTGTGCGCGCACTCGTTGCCTCGGCCCCCCTCGGTTAATTGTTCGCGTTTCACTGCCACCGAGCACGAAGTGGTTGTTCTAACGAGAGGACAAACGATCGAGCCAACTCGACGCCTATGCATTACGTAGGAAAAGGGCGGAGCGGTACAATTTTCATGTCACCTTTATCAAATAGAAATGAGTCAAAGTGTACACGGCAGAAAGGTCGCAGATTTAAGAGTCGCCTATGGAGCACCGCGACGGCCGCTTCCTTCAAATATTAACCGGAAAAGGAACGGGATCGCAAGAGCTGGTCCACCAGTTCCAAAGACGAGTACTACTCCGTGGTCCACATGGAAAATTTCAATCTAGAGGGAAGGCCAGCCTCTCAGATCGCTTCGGCTGAATGTTTAAAGAGGGTCGCCCGAGGACGCGGAAACCGGAAGGCCTCTGGACGTAAAAGAATTCGAGAAAAATCGGACACTCCGCTGGAGAACGTACTACCGGAGACAGACCCGTGGCTCGCGTAAATAAATAAAATAAACGGTGCCAATGCGTGACCCCATTAGACACGCTTTGCAGGTCGTGTTCTATGCAGCTTCAACGTCGTGCGCCGGAGCATCGTTCTCGGTGCCGACGAAATAAAACATTCACCGCGTCTTCTCCAGCGCGAATCCTTTCCTTCGTAGGGACACGGGTTTCTTGAATAAAATTTGCATACGCGGTGCGGCGCGTGATCGCGTCCGGAGACCCTGCGCCGACGTTATACCGGTTTAATTTGCGCCGCTGCCACGACACGGGACGAGTTTCCGCGACGCAGAAAAGAGGATTAAGCCAGACCCGCGACGTAGTCCAGCTGCGAGGCGTCGCCGAGAGCAAATTAACCGTATCGGCTCCAACAACGTCGCGGGCTACGATTAATTGCCCGTTTACGACGCGAGCGTACCTTTTCGAAACGCTTTTTTTTTTACGACGGTGACTCAATATCAAATGGGTTCGAGATATAAATAACGTTGGAAAATTTGCCGCTAGATAGCCGGTAAAAGTATATGAAATTGACGGAGCTGATACGATGGCTATTCCCGGAGAAATGCTAATCAACGCGAGTAACATAATATATTTTAGAACAGGTTCAGAACTCGTTAGGTAACTTTATCTTGTTCAGTGCAGGTACTTTCGAGCTGTCTTGTTCATAATTTCGTATTCAGATACTGAGGACAATTACCGTCACCTCATTAATGAAATAAAAATTATTCTATGAGCTGAAGCATTGACAATCACTCTTCTGAGATAGTCCTATCATACCTACGATTATTCTCGTTTATTTTCTTACTTTTATATTTTTCTTTTTACGTATAAGACCGAGAATATTACAGCAATTTTTTTCATACACCGAAGATCGATTACGTCTCTCGCATGCACGAGTACTTTGATTGTTCTGTGGAGAACTGCTCGAGTCAGAGCTCAGCTAAACCAAAGGCAAAGTGCAATTTGTAGTCGACGAGGGCATTAACTGGTTTGGTCGTTAAATTCGACCGGACGTCTTCTCGAGAGGATCGAAGAAACCGTCGAGGGGACGCGTATACTCGTTGCATTCGAATGTGCGCGCGGTCACGTAAGTACACGCGAAGCGCGAGTGTTGGTGCACCGGGGAGGAGAGAGAGAAAGCGAGAGAGAGAGATATCTAATTGGATCGGTAAATCATCCTCTAACCAGGAGGGTGGTAGGCTAGGCATCGCCACCGGCAACCCTTTATTCTGTGTTATTACAGTCTAAAGTTACCCCGTGTAATTGTTGCTGTTTAATTGCAAACTCTAAGTCGTCGCGTTACATGCCGCGGCGCCCCGCGTATAATTGCCCGCCTCGAGTTCACCCGCTCGTTTTTTACCGGCGAAATAATTGGAAGCGATCTCCCTCCCCGTCCCTGCGCGTACTGTGGGCTGCGGAAGTGTCTAAATCCGACGGAGGATCGCTTCGATCCGGCCGGGCACCCCGAAAACGTTTCGATCAAACGGAAGGCTAGCTAAATTGGCGGCCCGCTTAATTACCAATGAAATCTAATCGTCGGTAACTGGGTTTCACCCAAGGCGGTTTCTAGCTAACCGTACAAAACTGTAATAGAAATGAAATCGCGGTCCGTCGCGACATGAAAACGATGGGTCTCGCGAAACGAGCAATCGTCGAGGCCATTGGCTTGGTGCTTTTCGAAAAAGCTTCCAGCGGACCGCAAGTGCGTCCCCGTGCTCGGAACGCTGTTGCGCGACGCCAAATCGGCGCGGCGATGGACAAAAGCAGCTATTCGTTGATTGCGTTGAAGTCGGTTTCGGCGCAAGCATGAACGCGACGATGCCTTGGGCATTGGCAACGCGGACCCCGCCGCTGCCCGTTCACTCCGCCGGCCTTCCATTGTCGAAGATAGACAATGCCGGCCGATAAAAACGTAAAATTGATGCTCTTTTGTTCGCATTGTTTGAGATGCTGGTACAACGTTTGTCGCACGCCTGGACGAGCCACTGTTATTGGCTTCAAACTACATTCTCCTGTTCCGTTTCGTTCCTTTATCCCTCTCGTCCACGCTCGCTCGCGGTGTTCCTCTCGACCTCCACCGCTTCTCTCTCTTTCGCGCGCCACTACTTACAGCCAGCCCGCTCTTGCTACTCTCGAAACCTTTCGTCTCGCCCATAAGCCGAGGCATTGTGTCCCGCCACGGTTCCATAGTTTCGTCGCTTTACATTGACCGTTTCTCCCGCAAAACTTGTTCTTTTTTATCTTCGACTCCCTCATCCCTTACCCTTTACTCCTGACGGCTGTTATCATCGTATCGTTTTCTATTTCTTGTCGTCGTCGGCGTCGCGTATCACGATTCTTTCTGCTATTTCTATGCTATTCTCTGCGTTCGGCACTCTATTCTCTGACCAGCACAGAAGGCACGGAAACGACGAACGGATAAAGTCGAGAAATTACTCGGTCCTCATTATCGGTGGTGTAATAAAATTTCGCGTTCAGACAAATTCGTTATAATTTACATGTCAGATCGCGAAATGAGAGAGAGCGGGAGAAGACGGGATACAAAAAGCTGATCGGCGGAAAATCGTCAAATTGTGAAACTTTTAATAAAACATGAACACACCGAGCGTGAACGCGTTAGAAAGAAGGGTAATCGCGAAAGCCGGTGGAACGATAAACGAGGAGATCCGAGGCCGGAGTTCGAAATAAAACTTGCCGAATGATTCGCGAGCGTGCTGCGAATTTTCAGTCGTCGTATTCCGTCGCCTCGCGAGAACCTCGGCCCGGCCGCGTCCGCAGGCTCCATCCGGCATTTAGGGACCGGGGACTCGGCTGCGCCGAGCAATATGATACAAAAATGTCAGCAGTATCTGGATAATTACATAACTGGTCTCAGGGGCCGAGAACGGAGAGGACAGGGAACGGGAATAACGCTAGGACATGAGAAGTTGGTCTTCCTCCTGCGTAGAATGCTGGCGCAAGCGGAGGAGGAAGAGGTCGCGACGGATAGAGCGCAGGGTGATTTCCCAGCTGACCTGTAAAGCAACTCCCGTGCGGACTGTGACTCTCGCAGAACCAGTATTCCCGCTTCTTTCCTTTCCGTTCATCTGTATCGCTCTGTACCCCGTTTCTCTATTCCGCCTACCATCCCCGCCCTCAATCCTGCTTTTGTTACTTTTGCATGCTTACGCTCCCCTTTTCTTGGCTCGCGACGCTTTCAGTTCCGATTTAACAGGAAATGAAGGCAAACCGTGGCGAGAGAACGGGGAAACGACTAAAATTTGACTAAAGGACTCTAGTTTAAACGACTCACCGATGCGTACACTGTTGACAGGCGAAACAGTCCAGGTGATAGACGTTCGTCCTCGCCTTCATGACCATCTCGAACGGCGGTATTTGCTTGTTGCAGGCCGCGCAGTGTCCCGGGTTCCCGAACAGCCTGAGGTAGTCCCTCTTGCAGAGGATAAGGTTGGCCTTGGTGAACAGACTAGAACCGACCTCTCCTAACCTACAGTCGCAGCACCCGCACTTCAGACAATCCTCGTGCCAGAACAAGTCCATGGCCTTGAGGAGATACCTGAAGAACCGACCATAGTTTTCCTTTTTACCGGCCACTCTAACACTTTCGAGGGTGGCTTCTTTTTAGCGCGATTTACGGAAACGACTTATCCTTCGTCTAACGCTTTCATTTATGCGTTTTCTACTTGTTAAAAACTATCGATTGTATTTACTTGTCTGAGATCAGTGAAATAAAATTACAGAAATTAATGGAAAACAATTATTTTTCTCACCTCTCCGTGATCGCTTTCCCGCATCCTGCACAATCCTGCTGCGTGGCGCCATTTTTACTCGGCTCCGACTTGCTCACATCCATCGTCATCGTGATTTCGGCTAGAACGCCGTCTGCAACAAAGGAACGAGAACGTTGACTCGTTAAAATCCGCGACATCCAACGTGAATCGTGCCGTTGTAACAATGCACCGGCAGCCTGCGCGTAATGTACACGTACGCTGTGATAATAAGCGTCTGTTAAGTGGCCGACAACACGCAATAACGATCCGCGCTAATTGGGCCGGTCATCCGTCACCACACCGCGCCGCGCGCTAAGTCCCTCGCGTTCGGGTTTTTTTTTAATGAATCAGCGTTCAATACGAATACTTTCCACTGCGTTACGAAATCAATCACGCGGCTCTAATTTATGAAGTAATTTACGAAATCGGCTTTCATAAGCTAAATAACTGATTACTTGAGAAAACTCCCACATAATTTCATACAAATTGAAAAAACGGAACGTCGTACGATTTAAACGAAATACGTACACTGGCCGCGTTTCAAAGATTCACGGAGTTGCAACGAGGTACGTAGAGAATCGCATTCGAATCGACTAGATGTCCCAGGACCGATAAAAAGCTTTAAGTACGAGAGTTGGAACAGGAACGACCACACTCGCAGGAACGAACGCGTTTCTAAAGGCGATCCGAGAGGGTGAGAGGGAGAACGGCCGGCTAAAATGGTGAGTGGCTGCACGGCGAGGCGCGGGGGCTTAATTAATTAGCCGGATACTTTGAGTAACAATCCATTATTACATACAAACATCCTCGGCCCCGGAGCCGAGCTGTAGCTTTATGCTGCTAATTGGCCTTCTCAAAGCTTGGAGACCCGGGCACGAGTTATAAACGCCACTCCTCTAACTCGCCAGCACCCCGGCTCCATCCCACTTTCCCTCCTACACCACCGTCCCCCTCCTCTGTCGCTCTCCTCCTTCTATACCCTTTCTGTCTCTCCCGTCTTCCTCCTTTCGACTGTTTGTCTCTTCTCCTCTTTCTCTTTGTTCCTCCACGACCGTTCCCTCTTACCCTCCGAGCGCGAGGAATCCGCGTTTCCTCCCCCGCGCGCTGGCCTACGAGCACTCTCGCACGTCGCGATACACGTACAAGCTACACGTACGCGCACCTGCTTACGAATACGCACGCGAACGCTAGCACGAGCACGTAAAAAGCGGGGGGTGACAGTGAGCGTCGCGTCGGTTAGATGTGGACGGGCGACACACGGAGCACGGCGAGAGCGAAGAGGTACCGCTCGAGGGACGAGGAGGAGGCACGTCGAAGGAAGGTAGGGAAACGAGGGAGAAGGAACAGCGGGAAGGGGGACGAGGAGGAGCAAGAGGAACGACGGATAGCGCTAATAACGCGCTCGTGGAGCAAAAAAAAAAGGAAGGAGTATAATTGCCAGCCCTCGTGGCAGGTATTTTTCAAATAGGACCCCGTCCGTTAATTGGAGGGCAAATTAAAGAGGCGCCGCGGAGGAAAAAAACATCATCCCTCTGCCGCGTATCCCCTTGGCCCCCTCTTAGCGTGCCCCACCTACGCCGGTATCCAAGAGACGCCTCGTGATTCGTCAAACGATCTGTGCGCTCCATTTTTTTCTATGGATTTTTTTTCCTACCCCCTTCTAACAGTCAATCCCTATCTGCTCTCTTCCCTCCTCTCATCCCGCCTGTCCCGTTGGTAACTATCTTCCGGTAGTTCGATTGATACGATCACACCGCGAGACTCGAACGCGAAATTCGTGCCACGATACAGGAAGTTGCGAGCGAATTCCAACGGGAAATAAAGAAGGATATCTCTCGCCGAGTCGCGGATCCATATACGAGATCGGTCGCTGATCATCCGGAAAAATCGTAACGGCAGCGGGCGAAACGCGACGCGATCGCAACGTAGGATTCTCCGAGCGCGGGCGCGGATCGGAACGTTTCACGGCTGCACAGTTATTTGCCGGATGCGAGCCATATCCGATTCCGTCGCGTCGTGGTATTTGCGTCACAGCGCCAAGCCGCGTCGTTATCGGCGCTCGATGACACGCCGGCGAATAAAATTAAATTAATCCCGTCAAATTACCGCGGCCATTATCCCGCGACGCCGCTCACATGTATAATCTATCATCTGACCACAAATCAGTCTGACTGCTTTAGACGACCTCGTGTGCTCCGACGCGAATAAAAAAGAAAAAGTTGTCCTCCCCCTCCTGTACGGAGGAGACTCAGCCACCGGGCGTGAAATCGTTTTCGCGGAAGAAACGGCTTACACAGGGAAGGGGACCAACTGTGGTCTACCGACATAACGCAATCGTAAAGTGAAAAGTTGATTTATAGAGGGGCTGGCGTGGTTTTTGGGCGCGGAAGTCCATCGTTTCCACACCGACTGTCTCTCGCGGTCGAGGAAATCAAGCGAGACTTGCCAAGGGTTCGAAAGCGATCTGTGACGGATATGAGAGTTTCTGTTCGGTCAATATATGTAAGGAGAAGCGGGCAGGCGCACCCCTGCGAGATTACGAAACTGCCCTAACAGCAATATGGGATAACGCGGCGGCCTTCTGCGCGTTCGAGATCGCAAGCAACCGTCTCGTCGCGTCGCGTCGCGTCGTCCCGAAATATAACGCTGTCGCTACGGACACGGGGCAACCAGCTGGTTTAATAAAAATGTCAAATATAAAGTAGCCGGCGGGGACGGACGTTTAGGAAATAAATAAATGTAAAAGAACCGAGTGGGGCAGGGATACGGTTTTGATGTAGTGCGGGATGGCGCGGAGAAGGTAGAAGGTATTATGCGGGTGGACGGAACGAATTTGTCCATATGTAAGAGAATGACCGTCGTATAATATCAAGGGGATTGAATGCGGCCTTCGGAAGAATTATATTTGCTTAAATATAGCTTCAACTTACCCGTGCGTAAAAAATAATCAGCTTAAGGCATTATATCTGAAAGTTGGCTTCATATATCATAACCGACAAGTACTTTAACAATTGAAAGACTTCTCCAAAGCGCAGGCGAAAGAAAATTAGTTTGAAAATGCCATGATCTCGTTTGGATCATCCGATCGCATACCATCGTTCTCTCGTTTCACGTTACTACGGCCGGTGCAATATTGACATGCAATTAAGAATCACCCCGTACTTGTCCGGATTCCCGCGCCCATCGAGGGAGCCTGTTTAATTGCGTCCAGAGCGTCGAAGCAATTAGGCAAGTAATTTCGCACGTATCCCTTATCCGCCGGTGAAACTCAATATTTCGTGGCTCCGCGGAAACGAGTCGATCGGAAACGAATAAGAGCTCGCGATCGATTAATCCCCTGACGAAACGAACGGAAAGAAATACAAGAGGCGGAAAAATGAAAATAGAATACGGAAACAGAATACGAAATGAAAAGAAGGGGGGAAACGTAGCGTGCAATAGGGGGAAACGAAATCGCGAACGCACCCTCGTCCTCGACAAGTCACGTTCCGCATCTTGCCGTGTGTCCTTCGAGCCGTGGATCGCAGCGAGACGGCACGACACGACGACCACGACGACGACGGCGTAAGGGTACGAAACGCGTTGAACAGGCTCGGGAATGAAGCGCAGGATAGGGCAAAGTAGAGGGCACGAGGCTGTGCATAACACGAGGCGGCGCGGTAGGCAAGCAGGTAGGCACGACTGCAATTTCGGGGTTTAATAATGATCCCGGCCGACGACGGCTCAAGGCTGTATCCCGTGTCATTATACTGTGAAGTGGAGAGGCTGCTAATTAGTCATTAGCGTAGGAAAAAGACACCTTCAACGGACTCGGGCTGGGGTGGGTACCAGGACGGGGCAGCAACCCCATCCGACGGACGGTGGGTGCACAGGTACGGCAAACTTGAGCAAACAGGGTGTAGCTTCTAGCCTACGTCTAATTGGACCCTAGCGACGTAAGTTCTACTAATTGAGACCAGGCCTGTAACTATCAGCCGCGCGACAAGGGCCTTCGTAAATTCGCCGAGGATCGACGCTCACCGCGTCGCCGCCGTCGTCGTCGTCGTCGTCGCTCCCGTTTGTGTGCGGGTCGTACGCGTATGCACGCGCGAGCGCATTGGCCCTCGTTTCAACACGCGAGCGTGATGAATCCCGAGACGCAACGCGTGGTGTAACTCGTTTATTTGCTCTCGTCTCCTGTGTCTCGGGACGTGGAAGTTTCACGGGAAGCGGGGAAAAAATTGGCCTCACGCGTTATATAGCAGAACCTTTTTTCAGAAAGAATGAGCCGCGAGAACGAAAGAAAGGAGTGGAAGTCGACATGAGGAGGATGAGGAGACTTACTCCACTGGTAGGATTACCGGCGAAGACCGGGATCTTACTTTTTTTTTAAGCTATGTATGTATTTCATAAACGTCCACCGGGCCGTGCACACCACTAATTTGCATCGTGTATCTATGCATATATTTCATGGTCTAGAAGTTATTAGACTCGCTCCAGTAAGCGCGATACAGTTTGCAACCTATGACTAATTGGAAGTCGGTAACGTAGCTGCAAGTTTCGCTAATTGAGACGACCAGTTTAGTAACTACTAGAGTGCGCACGAAGGGCGTTCTCGGGGAAAGGAAATTTCTCAAGGAGAATTCGAATCAACCGGCAAGCCTTAATTTCACCCTTGCGCTCCCCTCTTCCCCCTCCATACGCTGAACCCGCGCAGGTCCTAACCAACACCACTACCGCCACCATTCGTTCGCGCGAGCGAGATTAACGTTTAATTAAGCATCGGCCGCTTAACTGTGCGGGGCTTCGGCATTGATTTCACGAGTCATAGTTTCGCCGGTCGCAGTGAAATGTATAAAACGAAATCGCCGCGCCGGTTGATACGCCCAGCCCGGTCCGTCCAATTAAAGCCGGGCCGCGCCGAAAGGACGCGATTTAATCGTCGCAATTATGGCACATGCCACGGAATTTCGCTGCTCGACTGGAAACTCGCGCAAACGCCGAGATCGTTTGCTTGCGCGACTCGGCCGCCAGAAATCGGCGCCCGATCTTTTAACGATGCTCGCGGAACCGGGACCTCGTCACAAAAAGGAGGAGAAACGACGAGGAGTGGGCGAGCGAAACAGGATAATA